GGGGGGGGGGGGGGGCAGTGCATATTTGCGTGTGCATGCGACGCGTCGGGTCGTTGAGTGCGGGATGCTTGGGCCGCGTGTGTGTGCGGGTGCATTTTCACGTGTGTCGTCTAGTCCACTGCCAGTCACTGCAAGATCACATGGGTGCTCGGCGCTGGCTTACCAACACATGAATTTATCAAGGCACCTCCAATTGCCACTGTTGTTTGTTTGTGCTCCCGCAGCCTCAAGCAATCATACCCCAAGGTGTCCGTCTGCCGCTGCCCCGGCAGCAAAGAAACCGTTGCGGTCGACGGCTTTGAGCCGAAGTACAGCGGTGCGTCCGTTCACCTTCCCTTTCACAGCGTGCGTGCGACCAGCAACGCGACGCGCCCATGCCCCATCACGCCACCACGCCGGCCGTTCACGACCGCATGCTTGGCTCGTGCTGACTCTCCCGCTGACTATGCTGTAATGTGCCTACCACCAAACTGCAGGCAGCGGCAGCAGCTGCACTTTCCGGGCCGATTACTACTGCTGCCTCGACTACGGCACCAGCGCTGCGTCTTCACCGAAGGCCGCCAGCGCCCCGCGCGAGCCCAGGGCGGCGCCCCTGCCGGCGCTGTCGTACCAGCCGGCTGAAAGGCCCAGCCAACAGACAGGACCAGACTTCCTGGGCCGGGCACCGGCCGAGCCGACCCCCGTTCCGGCCCGCAAGGCGGCCCCCAAATCGACGCCTGTGCCAGCAGAGAAGCCGGAGCCGGCGCCTGCCCCGGCCGAGCCGACCCCCGTGCCGGCCCGCAGGGCCGTCCCTAAATCGACGCCCGCGCCGGCGGAGAAGCCGGCGGCGTCGCCCGCCTCAGGCGGCGGCGGCCTGGGGTCGGGCCTCGGCAACCTGCTGACCGGGATGACGGACGGGCTTGGGGGAATCACGACCGCCATCGGGCGCACCGCGACCGGAGGGCTGATCAACTTCGGCAGTGGTGGCAGTGGTGGCAGCGACGGAGGCGCTGTCGGCGGGACGGCGACGTCATCGACCGGGGGGACTGCCGGCACCAACTTGCTAGGGGGCTTATTCGGCGGTGGCCGCTCGCCGGCCACGTCAGGGGCGAGCGGCACTGGGAACCTGCTCGGCGGCCTGAACGTTCTTGGTGGCGGCGGCGCACAGCCGGTGTCGATTCCCGTTTTTGGGGGTCGCAGGCTGCAGGACGCGCGCTAGCTGAGCGGCGAGGGGTTTGCCCCGACAGGCTTCCCATGACTCACTGTCTCGTAGCGGCCTAGAAAGCCTGGGGCTGGGAAGCTTTCAAGGTATAGAGGAGCAGCCCAGAAAGTTTGGGCCTCGAAGGAGCGGCAGCGCTGAACAGAGCCAGCAGGACCGCTACTCGTGCCATGGCTTGATGAAGAACTTTGTGCTGCTGCTGCTGCTGCTGCTGCTGCTGCTGCAGCACCGGCTGCGTTTAAACATATTCTTGGCTTCTATCGTGGCTGTGTTTGCGATGCGCCCGGGGGAACACTGATGCCCGGGGGAACACTTCTCCCGCCGCAGCGCCTCTCAACGCTTCCTTATGCATGCATGTTGCGCACGAATGATGCACCGCACCCTGATTGCTTGAACGGGAACGGCGCCGCTTTGGTTACCTCGATGCAGAGATCCTCTGGATTATCTGATTTCATGCAAAACATGCTTCACCTTGTGAGTGGGGCTGCAGATTTGATGTAGTATCCAGGCGCCCATCACACGCAGACCCCCTCCACTTTCGGAACACAAAGGTTCGTGTAACGGCGCCGCCACGATGACAACCTCCTGCGCGCGCCGATCGCCAATACCAAAAGCAGGCGAGCTATTGCTGCGAAGGTGCCAGCAGCACATGAGCGAGCCCACCGCCAGAGGGCTGGGGCCAGCGGCCGCACAACCCGACGTGGCCGTGGCCGCTGTTGCAGGCCTTGCAGGACTCAGTGCCGCAGCGCTGATCGGCTCCGCGACAATCAAAGAATGCCACCATGGCTGTGGCTCTGACCCACCCAGCCGGTGAGAGTGGCTCCACCCTGCTGCAAGAGCATGGCCAGGCATTGCTCTGCGCCGCATGCTGCGCCCATCAGGAGGGTTCTGCCGTGAGCAAAGGGAAAGGTCATCAACCACGTACACCACCCTCATGCGCACAACTCCGAAAACACAAGGCTCTAAAGCAAGCTCTCCTCGCCAGCCTCTGCTGCTGCTGCCGCCACTGCCGCCTCGCGTGCCGTCGCGACGCGGCAGTCGGCCAACTCCTCCGCGCCTTCCAGCCCCAAAGAATCGGGGTCCAGCAGCACCATGAGAAACGCGATGCGGTTGGCCGCCAGCTCAGCTGGCACTGCGGATTGTGCGAGTGACCAGGGAGGGCAGGGACGGGGCGTGGCAACACGTTGCAGGATGGCAGTTGAAAATATGAGCTGGTTGGTGTTGGGCGATGACGACAGCTTCAGGATGGCGACGGCGATGATGAGGTCAGGCGACCGGCTTTGAGCAACAGGCGGCCGCCGCAGGTTGTCGTGTGCTGGATGCGGCAGTCTGGGCCTTGGGGCTGCGAAGGCCCCTGGTGCTCGCTGCTGGCCTACCTGGAGCGCTGCTGCCTGCAAACCAGTACTCTGCCAGCGCCTCCGCCAGCGCCTGAAGGGTGCATGTGCGCGCAGATGCAGCATGTGTGTGTCAGGTGTGTGTGGGAGGGGGGGGAGTGTCGTGTGCATACACAATTGTAGAGTGCAAGTGCGCGTGCAGGTGTGTGCACAGGAGAGGGGGCAGGTACCGGAGAGGGGGCAGGTAACCTGGAAATGCATGCAGCAGCGGGGCGGACGGCAAGGACAGCAAAGTCGCACACACATCTGCTGCCCGCTCCTCTGCGCTGCGCACACCAAGGTGCACACTCAGCAGCGCGTCCCAACACGCCCCCGTGCCCGGCCCCCTCACGTGCACGGTCAGCCCGTTGTGCGCCGCCGCCGCTGGCGCCAGCGCCTCCCGCAGCAGCGACAGCACGTGGCGCGCCGACGCCCACTCGGCGGGCGCCATGCTCTCCGACAGCAGCGCGGCCGCCGCGGGATAGGGGGGCACGCAGCGCATGAGGACGGCGCTGACGGAGGGGGGCATGAAGCTGGTCGGAAGCTGGTGGAAGAGCAGCAGCAGGGTCGCGGCCGCCTGCGCGGCGGAGGGGCAGGGGGAATGGGTGCGGGCGCGTATGGGTGTGAGGAGGGTGCTCCTCCTGCCACCGTCAACGCGCGCCCAGAACCTACAGAATGGAAGAGTGTTGGAGATGCTGACACCGCAGCCATCCTGCTGTAGCCGTCTTGTTGGCATCGCTCGCTGCTCCTTCCCCTGCTGCCACCCTGCCATTGGCTGACAGTGCCATGGAACAGGCACCACTGCCTCGCTCCTCTCTCAGAGAGGAGCGAACACACCACACACACACACACACACACACACACACACACACACACAACAACACACAGCACACAGCACACAAAACACACGCACAGCTCAGCACACACACGTACGCACAAACACACACACGAAACCCTTGCCCACCATGAACACACGATACACACACGCAGCGCACACACACACACACAACACACATGCACCTGGTGCGCCGTGAGGAACTTGGGCAACGCCTCCCCCGTGTCCAGCGCCCACCGCGCCGCCGCCGTCGCCGCCAGCAGCCGCTCGACCTGCTGCTGCCCCTTCGGCTGCCGCCCGCGCACCGGTAGCCCGCAGGCCACCTCGTGGCTGTGCAGGAACAGGCCGGGGGTCAACAGTCGATGACGTAGGAATGACGTCAGCGCAACGATCTCCTTTGGCACGGGCCCCGCGGCCGCCGGCGGCACAGCCGCCCGGGAGGGCGCCGCCGCCGCCCCAGCCAAGGCCGCGGGCGCCGCCGCGGCGCGCTCGGCGTCGGCGGCCGCGCGCCCCTCCTCGAGCG